TAGTTTTTTTTATTACATTGTCGTTGTATAATCTAATCCCTCCTTATTGACAGGTCGAAGAGGAGTGAGGAGGACGAGGGCTCCTCCGCTCGTATTCCGTCAACCGGCGCCCTCTACCCGTCCTGCACTAAGGGATGCTTCCCGGCCAGTACCAAGAACTACTGTCCGGCCTGCACCTGCGGCCGAAGCTTTGCGCTCGGAGGTTACTCAGCCGGAGATTCTGACTCCCCCAGAAAGGTAGTGTTGGAAGAGGTTTCCCCAGCCGAACTTCTTCGAGGGGCATCCTTGCCCCGACGGTGATCGAAGTTAGAGGTGGTGACAACCCAGATGTGGAGATGACGCCCGTTGCGAGCGTCCAAGGGGCTGATGTGGTGGAGAGACGGAGTTCCAAATCCGTCGTTGCTATTTCGGGCGGCCGTTCAACATCTCGTCAATACCGCGCCCCCTCTTCGACCAATGAGAGGGGGAAGGGCGTCGTGGTTGAGGATTATGAATCTGAGTCCGACATTGACCCTGAGGACATGAGGATGTTTGATGAGGGCTTTACCCGAACTGTAGTAGAAGCGGGAGGCCCTTCCCAAATACTCGAGATTTTATCTAAACTCAACCTGCTGCAAGATATGGTGGACTTTGTGCCACGGTTCAATCTTCTATGCTCCGCCGCTAAAAGTAGAGCTCTTCAGGATGTCAGCGACTCCGAGTTGTCATGCGGTGTGGCCGCGATGGGCCTAAGGGTAAGTTCCTTTTTGTTCCCTTTGCTTAGTGACCTTTGTTTTTACTAACTCCTTTATTCTCTCTCTTCTTCTATCTTTTAGACTTACATGCTGGAGGCCGAGAGTGCTCGTAGGGCCGAAATGCGCGCCAAGATTTTTTTGAAGATGGATGAGAAGTATCAATGGTACCGTAACAGATGTCGTGAGATGCACGAGTAATTCAAGGCAGGCACCAGTACCTAGTCTACCAGGGAAGAGTTGGAGAAAAGAGAAAAGGAACTGATGCGGTCTATCCGCAAATGACGTGATCTTGAAGAGCTGCTTCATGCCAAGGACGAAGAGCTTAAGGTGGGAAAGGGGGTTGCCACAAAGTGCGAGGACCTTCAGCCGATCTTTACGAGCTAAGCTTGAGCAAATTGCTGCTAAGGTCGACGCCTTGAGTGCAGAATGGATGGAGAAGGTGGCCGAGATAGAAAGAAAAGTGGCCGAGATAGAGAGAGCCGAGAATGCTCGAGCGTCGACTTTGGCGAGGGCGGCGGCACTAGAGGATCCTATCTGTATCCTCAAGTTCGGGTAAGAGTCTGAGAGAGAGACGGCCACGCTAAGGGAGGCACGGCTCGAGGAGCGAATTGGTGAGCTGGATCGGGACGCTTCAATCTTGGGAGATCGGGTTGCGGCTCTTGAATCCAAGAATGCGCAGTTAATGGCTCAAGCTCCCCCTCAAGAGTCTGCTTCAGCCAATGTTCCCCGCCGCCTGTATGAGCTATGGGTCCATGCCAAGGCCAAACGTGATATTTACAATGGTTTGTGGGAGGCGAGGAATGTTCTAGAGGCTACCTTTGAAGATGCTCGGGCGAAGGCGCACGAGGCTCGAACTGCCTACGGTTACGACCCTCCGACGTCGGAGGCTGGCGAGGGCACTGATGTTGAGGATAGGCTCCCTTCTGACGATGATGATGTTGGGAGAACGACGGTGGAGATGATGCCGAGTGACACCTTGTTGTAACTTTTGTACTTAGTTTTTTTTTGGTTTATTTTTATCTTTCTCCTGAGGGCCTGTTTTGGCCCATTATAAGGTGCGACTGTTGCGCATGTATATTTGAATGAAATAGTTGTTTCGACCTTCGTTTGTGTATCTTTTGATTTTCTTTTTCTTTCCCTCTCGTTTGTTGTATATATATATATATTTTTTTTGATGAGTCCCTGGTCTTTTTAATTGGGAATTCGACCTTGCCCGGATCGAGTAGGATCTCGTCGTGTGAGTTCGAAAGAAGTCACTTTGGATCAGCAAGTTCAGGCTAGACTGACTTCTGGTTTGCCAACTTGGGCGGAACCAACCTTAATTCAAACGAGGTCAAATTAAGATTTGCCATCTTGGGCGAAGTCAGTTTCGACTTATATATTCGAGTGGGATCGAGTTCAGACTTACCCATTTAGGCGAAGTTAGTTTTTCCATATGTATTCGAATGAGGTTGAACTCGAAGTTGCTATCTTGGGCGAAAGTTGGACTTATATATTCAAGAGAGGTCGAACTTGGAGTTGCCATCTTTGGCGAAGTCAATTTCTGACTTATATGTTTGAACGAGTTTGAACTTGGAGTAGTCGTCTTGGGCGAAGTCAATTTCTGACTTATATGTTTGAACGAATTCGAACTTGGAATTATCGTCTTGGGCGAGGTCAATTTCTGACCTATATGTTTGAACGAGTTCGAACTTGGAGTTGCCGTCTTGGGCGAAGTCTATTTTTGACTTATATGTTTGAATGAGTTCGAACTTGCTGTTATCGTCTTGGGCGAGGTCAATTTCTGACTTATATGTTTGAACGAGTTCGAACTTTAATCTGTCGATTCGGGTGGATGAATTTTTACTTTTACTTGGCGATGACCGACGGCCGCAAAGACGTGGATTTGAGAACGAAATATTAATGTAAATTCGAGCGAGGTCAAAATTTTCTTCTATTTGACGGTGGTCGATGACCGTAAGGTGTTAACTCGAGCGAGGTCGAATTGTGACCCATTTGACGAGGGCCAGTGGCCATAAAGGTGTTAATTCGAGCGAGGTCAAATTGTAACCCGTTTGGTGATGGCTAATGGCCGTAAAGGTGTTAATTCGAGCGAGGTCGAATTGTGACCCGTTTGGCAACGGCCAGTGGCCGTAAAGGTTTTAATTCGAGCGAGGTCGAATTGTAACCCATTTGGCAATGGCCGGTGGCCGTAAAGGTGTTAATTTGAGTGAGGTCGAATTGTAACCCATTGTATTATTTTTATTGGAGAACATTACACGTCGATGTACTGTTTATATGTGCGTCTGGGTGAGTCCCAGTGTGCTTTATGTTGCTTTTACTGGAGAATACTATGCGTTCGGCGGTGAGTCTCAGTTCGCTTAACTTTGCTTTTCCTTGGAGATTACTGTGCGTTTCATGGGTGCGTCCCCTGTTCTGGAGATTTTCTTAATAGTCGACCTGTGCTGAACCGTTTCTGTTATTTGTAATGAGGTACGACTTAGAGGGCTTTACTCGGTCACCACTCGCGAGGTGGTATGGTATGGGACCTTCTCATGGGGTGCTTTAGTGGCGCCCGTTCTTTGTTCGCATACCTGTGAGAGTGCTCGTGTTCATGTTCTGAACCAACAAGAGATCGTGATAAGTGAAAACCAAACAAAATTGCATGTTACCTTGGCCTGGTAAGTTGGTGAAAGGAGGAACGACGCCATAGGGTCGCTCGCTTCGCCTCGTACTCGAATGATTTCAGGTTTGGCGGCTGTGTTCGGCTCCGTCGTTAATCGTGTCTAGGCTTCTCGTGGGTTGTACTTACCTCGCCCGTTGGGATGTCGAAACCGAGTCCCAATCCGACCCCGTCCGATATGCACAAACAACAAAGGAAACATGTCATACTTTGTTCATAAATCATCCGGTACCTGTGGGTACGAAAGTAGGGCAGGATATGCCCACTGTTTCAACGGATCACACAGTAAGCTATCGTCCCTTCCTAAGAGGTGGGAGTACGGGTTGGTATATAAGGTGAATACGTCAAATGAGGTTGCAATCATGTCAAGCGCATAGTGACCGTGATTCTACTTTAAACATGCATATGGCGTGCCAAACCCATCTTTACAGGTGTGGGTTTTGCATAGACGTCGGTCACAGTTTCTATTTTATGTAGAGATCTCACCTACATTGGTACGGTTATCTCAAAAGCTTATCTACTACTCTTTCGAGTTGGTGTTTATGCCGAGGTGATATGGCTATGACTGTCTGGTAGTGATACTTGGCTGGTTCTAGATCTAAAGAAAACTAAAAAATTTGGCTAAAAAATCCCCACAGACGGCGTCAAATTGTTTGACCAAAAAGTGCTAAGCTTTTTCTTAAACCAGTTAATAAAGAAAATGGAGGATAAATTTTAGCCAAATATAATTAACCCCAGATCTAAGCATATTGAGTATGAGAATCGAAAGAGACTGAGCTTATATAGCATTCCTTAAGATGATTAACAGACATCAAATATAAATGATAAGCTTACATCTTTGATATGTTATTCAGTGTTTGTAAGAGCAAAGAAGGAAAAGAGGGAAAGTTGTTGATAACTATGAGAACTATCTTTATTGATTCGACAATGATGATTACAAAGGGTTGTAACCAAAATCTGTGCCTTTGGTTTGTTGTTGGAGGTCCTCTCATCTTTGCTACATTGTTCCTCTCTTTTTCTTGGTTAGGCCCCCTTTCTTGAGCTTTTCCTCCCGTATATATATTACGCAGGTACCCCTTTATCCAATGGTCTTTAACCAGTGTACCCTCTCATGACTATACTCTTCCTTACCCTTTATCCAACTATACTCTTCCTTACTCGACCTAGTATTACGACATATGTTCTGCCATGTAAGCCTTCTGACAACTCGATCTCGGCAGTGGCCGAGATACTCGCCACTGTTACGCCTCGTGGATACGACTATGGCTTGGTCGACCACTTACCATGATGATAACCCACGTGGTCAAATTTTGACCCATACATATATATCAAAAACATCATCTTTACCATAATCTTTTTGAGCCAAGATATATCAGAAACGTCATCTTTACCCTAGGGTAGGGATAAGGTCTGCATGTTGTTGTTTTACAAAGTACTGTATTTCTTCCCAGATCGTCAACTGCAAGTAGAGAAATAAGGTGTAGACGAANCTGCAAGTAGTGAAATAAGGTGTAGACGAATACCGGAAAAGAATAAACGATTCATTTATGTCCCAGATAATAAAAGGCAGTAACATATATGTGGGGAAAGGAAAGAGAACAAAATAACTAGCAGGAAAAATCTGCAAAAATTTTCAAGGGTTTCTACATATCAGCTGTTAAGATCTCTATACTATCCTTAAAAACCTTCTTCATAGACTCAACAGCTTCCAATTTGCTTGTCAACAAACAGCAAAATAGAGTCATTGCATCTGAGACTTTGCCTCAGCCCGAAGAAGATCTCTTTCCTGTAATTTACAAACAGCTCCTACGCTCGTGCAAGAAGCTGGTACCCTGATTATCGCAGCTAGTTGTTTCGGTTGAGAAGGTCGACAACATCAGTTGTTTGTCCTCCTTCTGACCAAAGTCTAATTCCATAGTGTGCAAATTTCATCCTCTGAGGGCATTGCATTTAGATCAGGTAGAAAAAAACCTCTATTCTGATTCTCAGTTGAGTTTTCTCCCCGATGTGAATCAGATGATACCAGGTCATCATCTTCCATTGTGTGTCTTGACAAGACTGAATCAGCACGTTGAGTTAGCAAGTTGTTGCATCGATTGGATGCTGATTCTGCAGCCATTTCATTTGAGGTTTGTAGATTCAAATCAAACTGCACAACACAAGTTGACCAAAATTCAGTGCATCTACTCGTGAAAAAGGATTAACAAATCTAAAGATGAAATGCAGACGATGAAATCAAAGAACGAACCTTGATTCTCTTAAAGTTGTCACTCTTAACTCTTTGTTCATTGAGGGTCACATGAATCGATGCAAGTTCCTGTTAAGGCAAGAAAGAACACATATTTTAGACAAAGCAATTTTGTTTTTTGGATAATAAAAGATAAAGAAAACGGAACCATAGAAAGCTTACCCTCTTTAAATGTACCCTCTCTTTAAGAAGTAAGTTCTCTTCCTCCTTAAGTTCAGTGAATGTCTGCTAAAAGAATGTAATAAAAAGCTTGATCAATAAGAAGAATGCGAGCAGAAAGAGTTTAACTATCACAATTGTGTTTGAATGTAATGCTTACCCTTTTCTTCTTTGATCTTTTGCTGCAGCTGCTGCTGCTAATATTACTNTATATATATAAATTTGCACCCCAAAAGATAAATAGCTTTGATATTTTCTTTTTTCCTAAGACAAAGGTAGTCCTCAGCAACTAGATCAGAGAGTGACATTGGACACAGGAGATAACAATTTAGGACAAAATCAGAGGGAGGACACCACAATAGCTCAGGTTCCTTGTTGGAAAGGAGATTTGGGCCCAAGGGGTACGAGAGGATAAGATTATTGCTCAGTATCAAAACAAGTCATAGATCCAACAAATGGGACCACTCACTTATATCTAACGAAAAGAAATAAGTAATAAATGTAGGCCCAGCCCAAGTAAGCCCAATGTGGATGAAGTCGATGTGATGTGGTTTACACTGTTCCATAATTCTAAAGGAAAGAAAAAGAAAAGCGACGGAATCTCACATGGAGAGAGCCAATAGAAAGAGGACACGTATTAGAAAGTACAGTGAGGGAGGGGGGTGCACATAAACAAGAGCGGCCAAAACTGTTGAGCCTAGGATATATATTGTGGATACAACTTCTGACTTATTCACACAGCCACAGGGATGATGATTCACACGAGTCCATTTATGCGATTTGACACCCGACCCAACCAAGTCTCTCTTTTACTTTTTACCTGCCCAAAACTAGGCAAAGTCACCATTTTACCTATCCTTGTCCGGCCTATGTTTTACCAAAATCTCATTCCTAATCAGCCAGCCATAAAGGAACGCAAAAAAAGACAGGGAGATTATTAGCTAGAACTAGAATATTAAAAAATGGATAATTATTAAGAAGTGTCAAATGCTTAGAATGAGAAGGAGAAAAAATTAAAGTAGAGAAAAGAAAAGGTGAGACTCAAATTAAACGCAATATATATTAAACTTTCAAAAATAAATAAATACATATAATAACTAGAAGGAAATTAGTAAAATAAAGTAATAGTCTTGACTTTAAAAATATTTGGATGCCATCTGCTTTTACTGGAAGATGCTTCCTAATTTACAAGCGCCAGAACTATAATTACTCACAAACAAGTACACCCCCCGCAACTTTCTTGCTACACTACTTCTTTCTTTCAGATCTGGATAAAAAGACTAGTTTGACCCCCGCAAAAAATACAGAAATGAAAGAAAAAAGGGAGAGATGCGGAGGAGTTAAGAAGTAACCAAATGTCTTGGGTCCACACCCAGCTATTCAACAAAAACCAACTGACTTCCACCAAACTTCCCATAGCAACTCCTTAAATGTGTAAAACTATACGCAAATAACAGGAAAAAAAAATTGAATTTTTATATAGTTCCAAAGTTCATTTTGTTCGAGGGAAGCTTTACCGGATCTGAATGGAATATCAAATCAAAAGGCCTCCCTCAAGAAAAAAATACTACTCCAAAAAAAAATGTGAAAAACAGAACCGGAGGGTAATTTGGTCATTCTAACGGAGGGAAAGGAAAAAGAAAAGGAAGCGGAGAAGAGGAAAAACGTGATCTTTCTGCATCCCTTTCTTAGAACTTATCCTCCTCACGTGAAACGCTATAACTTCTCCGACTGTCAATTACCCGACCCGATACTCCTTCCGCGGCAACCCGAAAAATAAAAAATAGAGGAAAAAAATTAAAAAATACAGCAAAAGAGACGAAATAAAAATTTTGAAAGAATAAAGCGGATAGAAAAGGCGACAATACACCGCGTCCGTCCATGGCGCGGCGGCGGATCGGACCGACGTTACAAAAACGCGAGTTTGACTCACTGAGTCTATATTTCAATTTCCCAATTCTAAACTGAAGAAAATTAGGCTGGTGACAAGGGGTAAAATGGTCATTACGGCTACACTAGAAAAAAAAAAGCGTATTGGGAAAGGAAAAGGAAAAAAGGATTGTCTCCTCAATGAACATAAAGTGACCTCTAAAACTCACTACGCGAAATATGAAGAAAAAACAGGATTTTCCACACTCAGCCACCTACGTCATCTCAAGGTTAGTCCGGTCAAATAGACGGCACTTTCATAGATCCGATGACTGGGAAGCTGACGTCAGCACCGGTGAGCTGAAAAAAGGATGAGAGACGGAAGTGTAAATGGTCAAATAGAGAGCTGTGTCAGAAAATGGAGAAGGTTCAACTACACAATCGGAAACTTAATCTTCCGACGCAATTGACAAAGGCAGAGATGCCAGCTGCAGAAGGAGAGGAATCGGCGGCGATGAGGAGAATGTTAGGCCGCCGATTTTTTGTGTGGTGGAAGATGAGATGAGTGAGAAAAGGGAAAGGGAATACAAACCTTGGATCTGAAGGCGGATGATAGATCGGAAGACGGTGGACGGCTAGACTCATCATAGCCGTCGTCACTAGGTGAACCAGCGCCGCCGCTCCAGGAAAGCGGCGTTATAGGGCTACACCTGGTAGTGGAGGTATACGCTTTCTTAACTGACATAGATGACGGCTTCGACCTCGGCTGACGGTGACCCCAACTACTCAACGGCAGTGTCAGATGCAAACCACCCTTCGCCGCCGCTGTAGTCGTCGGCTGCGGCGGCGGAGTAGTACTATTACGCAACTGAGACGAAGAAGAAGAAGATGGATGATGTTTGAGTCGGAAAAGCAGCTGCACCACCACCGAATCATCGGATAACGCAGCGGATAACCAATCGTCCTTCTTCATCTGAATGAATGCTTAGAGAAAATAGCTGCTGCACTGTGACTGAAAACCCACCCAAAAGAGGATGTGAGAATAGATGGAGGTTAAAGGAAGCTTAAAGGGGGTGGCGGAGAGAGAGAGAAATGGAGGAATTGATGGGGGCTATGGCTAATATATAATGGGGAGAGACTGAATGAATTCCTCTGTATTAAGATTTATATTTATATGTGCTATTTATGCGATCTCTTCTCTCTCTATCTGTAAAATGAATACTTCTGATTAAATGGAAATCTTGAAAATAATACTGTATATTGCGACTTTGTGAGATATATATCGCGTTTTACGTGTTATTGTGTGGATGAGTTATTAGAAGAGAGAAGATTGGGAAGAATCGAGTAGAATGCTTTCTTTTGTTTCTTATTGGGTTTTCTATACGGGTCGGGTTATAACTCTGACTCCCTCTTATTACTTTTTTTCTAGTTTATATTGGTGGGGAGCATAACATAAGTCTCGTGGGACCTACAGAATACACGTGGCCATTGCACTTCCGTGTTTTCCTCCGCCTAGGGTTTCATTTCATCCTTGGGCCAAACTACTCTATGCCGATTGTCATGTTAAGAAGCAACTTCTTTTTTCTTTCCTTAATAAAACACAATCAAAATATTATTTTCCACTTAGTGTGTGTTTGAGAAGTCGTATGAGAACTTGATATGAATAAAGTACTTTTGGTGTAAAAGTATTTTCCTATTGTTCTTAAGTATGCAACTTTTTAAAGTTAATAATAGGAGTAATATCTTAAATACATTACTGATTACACCATTGTTTGAATTCACTTAGAGCCCATTTAGATTAGCCGATTGTAAATAGTTTAATAAGCTTGAAGTACTTAAAAGTAGTGGTGAAATTGATTTTTTAAATAAATATTTATGTATTTGGATAGACGTGTTGAAAATGATAATAACCAGATGATGTGCTTAAAAAAATGTTGATAAGTTGTTATTTTATTAAAATGATCAAAATACCCTTAAAAACTTTACAAAAGATTATTAAAAATTTTCTTTGTAAATAAAAGATGAACAACGAATATGGAATAAAGAAACAGTTATGAAATTTATTTTGAAAAAAAATATATTTTATGAATTAAAACATATTATTAAGGATAAACTAGTAAAAATTTTAGGCAGACTAAAAGTGCTTATAAGTTGAAAAACCATAAGTTAGGGGTGACCAACTTATGACTGATTTTAGTTTATAAGCATTTTTGGATGTTTACCAACTGCGTAAATAAGCAAAAAAATACTTGTAAATCAATTTGGCCAACTTATAAGCTTTGCCAAGCACCCTCTTAATCTACTTCTAGTATCTATCCAACTTAATCCTTTGATTAGTGGTCGCATAATTGAAATTAACACTACATTATAGTAGTGGGAGAAAAGGTAAACACTACGGGTGTGTTTGGTATAACGAAAAATATTTTTCTTGGAAAACAAATAGTCATCTTATTCATTTTCCGATGTTTGGTATGCAAATTAAGGAAAATGACTTCTCAAGAATATTCTTAAATAATTTAGATATAATAAACATGAAGTTATAAACTTTCAAACCAACAACCTTCCGAACCCACAAATTTCATAAACTTTCGAACCGCTAAACTTTCGAAATCGCGAAATTTTGAACCCGTAAACTTTATAATTTTTAAACTCGTAAACTTCCAAACATATAAACCTCCGAACTCATAACTTTGGAACTTGTAAAATTTTGAACCTTTAAACCGATAAATTAAAAAAACTAAAACTGAAAAATATATTTTTTTTTGGGGGGGGGGAGGTGAAGGGGTGGGGGTGAGTGGTGTAGAAAAACGAAAAAACAGAAATTTAAAATTGCAGTAAAAAAATAATTT